ATCAGGACTGAGACCCCCGTCCAATGGGAGCTACTCAGCTGTATTCCCCGCATCAGCTTCTTCACCAACCAATCAGATAGGCTCCATTCTGACCAATCAGCACAGTGAGTTTTGGACCAATCAAACTGCGAGGATTTGAAGTCCTCATTTGCATGAGGACAGACCAATCAGGGGCCAGGGGTGGGGCCTTCTGTCTCCATAAGTGAGCTCCCCAGTGGCCCTGGGCCCTGTCCTTCCCTCCCCGGGACTGGATGCTGTTTCCTTGGCTGGAGCTGAAACGCAGAAGGTGAAATGTTCACGATGCCTCAGAACAGAGCATGGAGCGGGCAGTGCAGAGTCCCAGCCGCCAGCAGGGGAGGGGCAACGGCCGAGCTGCTGCATCGTTGAGCTGTGACACTATTATCACAGCCGAGCTGTCTGCACTGAATAAAGTTTCCTTCGTCACCACGCCCCACAGGGTGCCCCCCACACTGGGGCTTCCTGTTGGCATGGAATTGGTGCCAACGACCACTGGTGACCTGGGTGCCTGGGGGTAGCATCTCCAGAATTTGCTGTCTAGATGGGAGATGGAAACACACGAGTACAGGGTCAGACAGAAGGAACCAATGCCACGCTAGGTGGAGAAGGACTAAGAGGGGGAGAGAGGAGGGTGGGGTCCAGGAGGCCATCCTGGAGGAGGCAGCACTTGACCTTGGCCCTGGGTGGAGTAAGAAGCTGATCCCGTTGGGTGGTGGGGAAGGTGGGACTCCGGGTGGAGTGGTGGCCTGGGCGAAGGCAGGGAGGCCGGAACTGCAGAGCAGAGGTGCTCTTAGGGACGCAGGAAATTCGAGGCCAGACGCAGACGCCCGCCCGCGCCCTGAGCTCCCCGCAGGCTGCCTTTGGAAACGGGGGCCGCCTTGGCTCTGGAATGTTCCTGAATTCCATTACGGTGAAAGTGCAGAAAATGGCAGATCTCCAGATGAGCTCATGTGGAGGTGGGAGTAAACAAGTGGTCTCCATGGCAACTGTGGGGCTCGGTTTTGCCCCCCTGAGATCTGGAGGCCAGCCCGGAGGAGGCAGGCAGCCACTCCTCATTCCTCGGCCGTGACTGAGACCTGCAGTGCCGCAGAGCTGCTGGCCACAGGGGCCCCTTACGAACCCCAGAGCCGGCTGTTGGAAGCCTCGGTGGTGAGGGGGGGCCCATGGAGCCCAGGGCCACCTGCTCAGCCTCCCAAGGTCAGGGCTCCTGCCGAGGGCAGCGGCCCCATCGGCTGTGCTCCCTGCCCGCCAGGGATGCAGGATGGAGGCAGTGAGGTGGCGGCGGAGGCACCAGTGTGGCTGGGCCCCAGCAGCCCTCGCAACGCTGGGCGCCCAACAGGACGCAGGGGATGTCGGGGCCGCTAGGTCAGCTTCGCTGCTTCGACCAGGAAAGGCCTGGAAGATGCTGCCTGGCCCTGCCCTCCGCCCCCAGCGCCCGGCCGGC